CTTACTATAATTTTTTATATTTAGGAACGAAAAATGAGTAGTAATAAAAAAACCACCCCCAAGACCAACATTAGTAATGCCCCCAAGACTAATAATAGTAACGCCTCCAAGACCAACAGTAATAACGCCCCAAGACTAATAATAGTAACGCCTCCAAGACCAACAGTAATATCACCTCCAAGACCAATGATAATAATACCTCCAATATCAACAAAAGTGACGCCCCTAAAACCAATGATAGTAACATTTCAGAGACCAACGAAAGTCGTGGTAAGTAAAATTCTGTTTACCTTTTTCATACACCTAAAGTTTAAAAAATTATTAAATCTATTAATTGAACCAGATTATGATGAATATGATGACTATTACGAACAAGATCTTGAGGAGATAAGAAATCCCTTTTACAATAATGTGCAATGGTGTTTATCGTATTCTGATTCAATTAAAGGATTATCCAATGAAGGACCTTTTGGTTGTGACGATTAATAAAATTATATAATAGTGATATGTTATATAATAAAAATATTTTTTAGTTATATATTGTTGTTCGGCAACAATGTTTTATTAGACCCGAAGGGTCATTGCTTCGCAATAATAAAGAGGGGGGTCCCGTGGGCTCATCATTTTTTTTAACTGATCGTGTGAATGGGTTCTACTTATTAACCTATGCTTTAACTGTTACTATTGGGATTGAATTCTAATATTTATTTATATAACAATAGAGATGATAAGTTTTTGTATTGACATAATCACCACTCCCCCATAAACCCTCTATATTATTTCTTATATTTTCTTTTTTATGATCTTTATTGCATATAGGACAAAGTACAGATCTATTAAAATCAAAATAATTACTATATTTAAAATTATGTTTCAAAGTTAAATAAGAGAATCGCTCCAATACCATTTTGATAACATGAGCTTGTTTTTTTTTCGGGATCACCAGCTAAAACAGAAATTGAAGGTCGGGATTTGTTAGATACATTTACCTGGGATATAGGTGGCATACTTACCTCAGATGAATTAGCAGAAATAGATGAGTCAGAGACTCGAGACTTTGTTTCTTCAGTAGATGCATTTACCTTAACTTCTGGTAATTCCAAGGAAGCAGAGCTTCGAGTCTTTGACTCATCTTGATTATTTTCTTGAGATGGTTTAGAGCTTGATGAATCGGAAACTTGAGATTCAATAGGTATACTTTCCGAACTAGATTCAGGAATTTCAGTCACATGATTTGAAAGACCCGAGGTCGTCAAAATTTCTGTGGAACAATTGTCATAATTGCTAGAGAAATAGTCAATAACCTTTTGAAGTTCTTCGTTAGTAAATTTTGAGATAGAATTCGCGCTATAAGTTTTAATATATTGAACCTTATCCATTCCTATTTTTTCAAATAAATTAAAGATTTTTATAGCTCTCTGAGTTTGCTTACATAAATTTTCCCGCTTAGTATTGGGAAGTTGTTCTAT